CTATCTTTTAACAACCATATTGATTATATTTGTCGTAAATCATCAAAAATATTGGGCTTTACTAACCTTAATACCCACGACTTTAAAAATATTCAGGCATTAATAATGCTCTATACTTTCCTTGTTCGTTCAATGCTAGAATTTTTATCCTTTATTTAGAATCCTTATCAACTAACTAACATTTATCGACTTAATCGCATTCAAAATAAGTTTTTAAGTTTTGCCGAATACCGATGTGGCATAAAACCAATTTTAAAATTCCTTAACTAACAGACGACATTTTAATAACATAGCATTTATCCATAAACAATTAAATGGATCAACTGATTCCCCTGATATTCTATCGCTAATTTCTATCGCTATTCCATCTTTTAAATCTAGGCAACGCACAACTTTTAAAAATAATTTTCATAGAACTAATTTTGGTTACGCATCCCCTCTAGATCGTATTTTTCGCATTATAAATAATATGTATAAGGCTGATTTATTTTTTTATTCATTGTCTTATTTTAAGAATAATATTTAAATCCTACATTTTTTCTATCTTATTATTTAGTTATGTTTTATGTTATAAATGTTTAATAATTTCTAAGTTTATATGTTCATCATACTAACTATGTATTTAATTAATATCTATATAACTATGTAATTTACTCTTAAGTATTTAAGTTCCACTGTAATATTTATCTTAATTAAATTATCCCATTTTCTATAATCATGCCCTTGCGGCGTTTAAATTTAAATAAATAAATAAATACAATTATACTTACGAATTGCTTAAAATATCAATCTTCTACGAAAAAAATATTGGTGCTTTAAAACTGCCTAGGATAGTATTTTTATCTTTTATGGAACAGTATAAATACAATTAAATATGTTCAGATTTTTAAATTTAAATGTAAAGTTTATACGTTATCTTAAAGTTTGACGATAATACTTCACTTTTATAGACTAAACTTTTTAAATTAGAATAAAAAACATTAAATATTTTGGTATTTGATGATAAGCATTTTTACATAAGTGTCAACAAAGAAAACGAGGAACGGCCAAAACTCCAACAATACGTCAAGCAAACTGACATTAAACTGTAGAATTAATGAAATGTCTTAATCAAGTTCATATTTTTTTGAGTAAATAATTTCAATTGCGTTTAACATTTTTGTGATCAATGCGAGTGTTACTTTTTCAGTCGAGCATTTGTGTTTCATACAATTGTTCATTTTAACATTTATTTCACGCATTTTCAAATAAATAATGTATTCGTATTCAAGCACGTATAATTACTAATTTATTTTAATGTTAGTATTTTATTTGTCAAAAAATCGATTCAATTATTATAAAATTGTTAGAGTGGACAATTTTCCTGTTAATGCTTAACACTCATTATTTTTAATTTTTCATTATAAATTACAACTTATAAATGTAGGTTGGTAAGATATTTAAGTAGGTTTTAAACGTTATACTATTTTGGACGATATTTTTGTAATAAGGATTTACAAATTGAAAGAAACATGAAAAACATTTAATTCACAAGTCAGTAAAATCAATTAAGCAAAATGTAATTTATTCAAAACGCTCGACACCAATATTTTACGTTTCATTGGTAAAATATGACCAAATAAAACATTTTTAATCGAGGACGATTCAAAGTATATATCTGCTCACAATACATTATTTTGTTGAATTTTTTTTAAACTCAAAAAATACCAAACAAAATGCCATCCTAGCTCGTAGGATATAATACAGATATATATGTGGAGAGCATACGATTATATTTTATCCGTTATTGAGTTAGAAACTGTATATTAAAAATGACGATAATGTTAATGATTCTTTTTATTGTACCTATAATTTTAGTAGAAAGTATCTTTTGGGAAAATGTTTTTACTGGTAAATATTAAAGCGTAAAAATATAAAAATGATTTCAAAATGTGTACATATCTCGCACTGTATTTTTTATATAATATATAAAATAAATATATAATATATAATAAAATATATGTATACATACATATATATTTTGTGTTAATATACTTATTTATTTTAATTTCCCATACACAAAATATGCCGAAGAATATTTTTTTAAGAAAATCATGAAAAATTTTAAATCAAACTAATCTTTAACATTGTTTATAAAGTTATGTTCATCGTCTAAATATTAATTGTTATTCTAATAGTTCAAACGGTATTTATTTTTTTTTAATTTTACATATATGAACAAATGTATAAATGATTTATATTATCAAAACTTTGAATTTTAAAAAAATGCAGTACATTTATTTTGTTTGCTAATGCAATGATGGATACATTAATAAAAGTAGTCCTTTTTAGAATAACCATTTTTGAGTTCTCATAATATGAGAACTCAAAAGTGATTATACCTGATATTATCAAGCGGTTTTAATAAACATTATTTTGCATGCAGTTAAGGCGAATTCATATTTTCATATTTAATAAACTTTAATATGAATGTAATGAATACATTTGATTAAATAATCAGAATATATTATATTTATAATCCTCCAAATATAATATTCATCGGAGAAAAAAATACTTTTTTAATGATTCGGTGATTTTTTTGTACATTGATCAGATTATTCCATGGTACGAAAGGTACCAGCTTACTGGCTGTCCACGTTCAATAATCAATTGAGTGATGTATTATTAAAATATGAGAAAAACTTGTGTACAGTACTCAAATATACCTTCTGAATATTAAATTATCAAAAACATGATTCAGATATAACAAATATTTTGAACGTACGTTTTTCGTCAGCAGTATTCAATCATTTATGTTAAATAATTTCTCAAATTACTCCGTCCACGTACGGTCTTCTACATAAGATAATCGAATACCATGCGTATTAATCAAAACAACTCTTTTAAAATAATATATCTATGCACCGTCCAACTATAATGATACATTAAATCACTATAACAGTGTTTTATGCTTTTAATGATCTATATTTAATAATTAGAAATAAAAATTGTTTTCTTCGCGAGCCATTAAAGCTTATGTAGTAAAATTGTACGATAGCAACAACAAAGTTTGCGTTATAAATGAAACGTCAATAATAATACTGTCGATGTTTAATATACAACATTGTGTGGATTAGTGACGGTGAAAATAGTTCTAAATCTAAGTGTATAAAAAAAATTAAGCGTATTTAAATTAAATGTCTAAACAATTATTTTACGTTCAAAAACCCGTTCCAGTAAAACGATTGATAATTTGAATTTTTAATAATATGGCATATTTGATTTAAAGTTATATAATTATTCGTAACCTCACATGCATACGCTTAAAATTCATTCTCGGTAGCTGGATTTATTTTCTTTGGTTTTAAGTTATCGACTGCATATTAATATAATGACATGTAAATACGTTTAAAAATAATGTATCCATAATTTACGCATACAAACTAAATTAAACGGGTGTTTTATCCTATAATTTATGGTTACGTGTATTACACATTTGAATATTGCATTGATTATAAATGTTCCAAACACGTATCGCATAATAATATACGGTTAGTAGATATGACATTTTTTCTCGAATTTTATATATTTGAAAAAATTAATATGTGAAATTTATCTACAATATTTAATAAATCGCAATTTCACTATGAAAATATGAATTAATTAAATGTGTAAATTATTGATTATTTGTTTTGATTTTTTTTTCTTTTTTTTTTTTTAATACTTTTCATACCTACATTAAAAAAACCATCGAAATATCAAATTTTAATGTAGAAACACTAGAAAATAAAATCACACTGATCAGTCAATTGGTTATAAAAATATCGACCGGGACGACTATTATTAATATTAATTTCGCTACACCGTTTTATAGAAGACGCGTGTGACTCACTTTCAATTAAAACAAACCCAATGATTACGGTGCTGTCGAGCATAATACCTCCAGAACTGAGGAGGTTAATCAAGGCTCATCAGGAAATAACAGAATCGATGAACAACCCTGAACTACCACTATATAAAGACATCGTCTCAAACCCCCAAAAAAGACTGAAGTCAAGACACCCTATCTGGGACCTGAAGTTCCCGATAAAATCAATACCCGAGGTGTAGAAAAATCGTTGAAAAGATGCAGGAGGGCAAAACTCAACATTGATTACAGATTCAATGATGAAAGTTCCGAGATTCAACCTGCCCCGATACATGTGGACAGCATTAAACAGAACTAGAACTTATCAAGGTAGAAGTAAAAGTTTTTTATACAAATGGGGTATAACCAATTCTCCCTTGTACGCGTGCGGAGCAGAACAAACCATTCAACATATCATTGAGGAGTGCCCTAATACTGAGTTCAACGGGGGTATAGCAAGACAACACAAAGCTGAAGAGGATGCAGTAACATGGATAAATAATCTAGAGATACGTTTGTGAAAACGCCTATATATAATAACCTGAATAATATTTAATTTGGAATTTGTCATCCCTTTAAACACTAGTTATAACTGTAGTTACCTTGTTATATTATATTATGTTATGTCACGTTGTTGTTTTATTTTGTTGCTCATTTACGTGCTGTTAACATACTTATATTTTTTCACTTTAATATTTATATTTATACCTATTACCTATTTATTTATTTATTTATTTACATATATCTATTCAAAAACTCATTTATATACTAATTTTTTTTTATTTTTGTTGCTTTATAGTGTGATAATATATTATAGCCGATGTCATATGCAAAAAAAAAAAAAAAGTCTTCGTTAAAATGAAAAAATAAATAGCATTGGATGTAGCATAAGGATAAATTTATATTTTTGAACAAGGGTACGTGTTACGTGTGTGCCATTATTATGCAATGGAATCGTTTCGCACGGTATCCGTTGTTACGATGTTGTAATCGAAACGTATCGTTACGCGCAAAACAACAAGACGGAAATAAAAATCGTTTTTTTTCCCCATCCCGAACGGGTACATATTATCATTAAGGGTTCGAGTTTTTTCCGCATATGTATTTAACTCACGTGTCAGGCGATAGGTTTTCACGAATCGTACAAAGACTCTCGATCTGCAATCCGGTGCGAACGGTTCACGCGAATCCGTCGACGACTCGTCCGCGTAGGAATATAAAAAACGAATTAAAAAAGCGTTACGTTTTATTGTCGTCGAACGCGGTAAACTATTTTTTTATTTATTTATTTTTTTCCACTAATTGAATCCCGAACGATCGACACAGAAAATATCACCCGTTCGCCCGTCTGTTTAGCCCGTATCGCATGCCCGATGAATGTCCACACCGTACGTGCCGAACTGTTAGAGAGCTCTTACCTTGCACTCGTACGAGGGCGGTCGGTCTCGGATTCGACGGTGCACCACAGTCCAGCAGAAGCGTTAGCGTCAACATGTGTCCGTGCCGGTACTGGAGAGAGCACTTAAAAAGCTTAGGCGCCGCGGCGTACCTCCGAAAAACCATTCCACTCCCACCCGCGCGGAAACGTTCTACGCCTGTCCCGTCACGCGCGATCCGACGTCGACCACTCGAAGTCGATCCGAATTCTTCCCATTACACACGCATCCGAAAACCGAAGAATCCCGCTTCGTCCATGGCTTTGCGTCTCACGGATTCGTGAAAAAAAAATTAAACAAATTGTATAAATAACAATAATAATAATAATAAATCAAAATATGTTTATTTTTGGTATCCTATCAGTTTCCTGCGAGTACCGTCCTGTGACCATTATAATGATCGTCGCACGGTCACGAGCCCAAAAGTATAACAATGGACACGCGAACAATCAGAAATCTGAAGAGATTTGTATTCCACCGCACGCTGTCCGCGTGACACTGTACGTACGAAGCGTGGACCGGGAATAAAAGGGGATTCTAAGCCGTTTCGGGACGGTCCAAATACTTCGGTAGTTCTATCAAATGTGTTGTTTTCCAATTGCGTTTTCAATAACGCGCGTATATTATACCGACAAGCGTCCGGTAAACAATGGTTGACCCTTCAACTACTCCGGAAATTCGTTCACGGTTTCGGTTTCGCTTCGGTCACCGTATTCAGTGCGATTCTTCACATGATACATTCATACATCACAGTACTTGTTTCGTACGAAAGATTATACTTAAAAGGCAAGATATTATACTCGTACTGTATTCATAGTTCATACAATTATAAATACATTTTTAACGTAGACTGTTTCGAAAAAAATTCCTTGTTATATTATGTACATACATGTTTAGGCGACGTGGAATACTGGACTATGTGCACGTTGCTGAGGAAATTTGGTGTTGCACTGGTAATTCCAACCTCGAACGGATATATAACGAATAATAATTATTATTATAACTGTACGATATTTTACTGATAGTTTATCATACATTTATTTTAATGCAGAACGAAGTATGAAATACCGGTATAATATTTTTACCCACTATTTCATACTCTTCTATCTTATATCCAGTGTTGATGATTATCTGGATAAGTAATTGAGTATCTTTTATCTTATCTGTATAATAAACAAAATTAGTTATCTGATGAATTATCTTAGATTAATTATTGATTTATATAATGTAATTTATCTAGATCAGTAGTTCTCAACCGGGGTGACATAACCGGGGTCGTTAGTTATTTTGCAGTCGCTAGATAGGTAATGTTATAGCTCTACAACTCTAGAAGATGATATGAGAATCGGTCTTTCCACCATCAGCCCTCAGCTTCCTAACTTAGTAAAAACCACCAGGGCTCAATTTCTCATCAGTTTTCATATAAATCATTATTATTATTTCTCTCTTTTTTTTAATTTTTTTTTTTTTTTAATCTGCAAATTTAAATTTTAAACTCTTAATGTTTATTGAACCCTGCAACTCAAATTAATTGTAGGCATGCTTATTATTATTCTGTGAACTGTATTTTTTATTTTTTTTTTGTTATTTCAAGAACTATTCTAAAACACACTGTTAAGATTATTTATTATTTTGATGTTAGGTGTTTTATTCTAGTGACTAAAGATGACACGAATGAGAAAAGAATGAGAATCACTGATCTAGATAAATAAATACGAGTATATTTATTCAAAACACTTAGAAAATTTCACTTGAAAGTAAAAAACTATTAAAAATTAGACCTATTAGATCAAAGTTAAGATAATTTTAATTTAATTTAATTTTTTAAGTATAAATTTATAAAAAAGAAAAATCCATCGGCTTTCGTTAACATCAAATCCGTTCGTAATGGTCTGCTGTTATAAATACTAATTTTCTGATCTACACAATATGTGTGGTGTGCCCATCGATTCATTACATCATGAACGTTATTTATCCGGCGATTTTATATAGGTACTGTAAAATAATATATAAAACCACCTTATTTCACAAGAGCGTTTTCGAACATCATAATAAAATATAATGTAAAAGTATAACAACGTTTCAAATTTATAAATGATTACTATCATGTTCACTTGCCATGACGTGGCCATTTATCGTTGATAATTTTCTGCTTTTATTTTTTAGTCATATTTCAAGACCAAAGGATTCGAGCTTAATAAATTTTCATATTTTACATTATTCCGATTTTAATAAATTTCCAGAGAAATAATAACAGCGTATAAAACATCAACAAACAAATACACTATTAATATAATTCTACGCATCGAACGTTCAAAACAGCAATAACTTTAAAGTGTATAACACATTCAAGATTATTTTCACGGATGAAAAATACAATTTTCAATATTTCACATTTCTGTTGCGTAAAGATATTTTCAACCACAATTGTGGTTCAACAATGGTTCAACATTTGAGCACGGCGGATAAACATAAATCATTATTTTCCTCCAATATAATTAATCTCCAACGTTACCGCAAAATGTACGTTATAAAACAATATAAATGTGAGGCTTTTATCTTATGTTATATTTATGTACACTTACTTATCTTATAATAATCAAGAACTTACAAGCTCTGGAAAAATAACTAACATAAAAGAATAATGATTTTAATTTTTACCGCATGATATTATGTCCGTAAAGCTACAATTGCAGCAGGTCAGATATTTATCAAATCCTCTAGAAGTGCATAGTAAATTACAACATTATAATAATCAATAAAAATAATAAAAACAATTATATGTACGTGTGTGATTTAATATGAAAATATGAACACAAGCGTGCATCGCTTGCTGGAGAAAATTCCAAGGGGTAAACGCTTTGTTCGATTTAATATTTTACACATGTCGAATACACTTATCATTCGGCCAACAAAATGAAAGGTTATATAAATTCACTCGAAAGTTTGAATTGAGGTGAACTTTTAGAATATTACAATTAAATTATGAGCAAATCATGTGCAATTCGATCTATGGAAACATTTATATTTGAAACCTTATCTAATAAAAATTATTACAAGTTATGACAATATTGCTGAACGCTTGAAAACGAAAAATTACATCCACGTACCTATATTCGTTTTCCCGTATTAGTGTGTGAAAATATTGAACATATCTTGTGAAAACTGCTATTGACTAGTATTGACTTGAAGTTATTTTCCATGTACAATAATACATTCAATAACTCTATGTTTTTCTTTTAAACTACAAAGAATAATAATATAATTAGTGACTAGACACGAAATAAATGATACTGGGCGAATGCAACATCCAGACTTGTTGTGTAAGCAGTATGTATTTTTCATATGAATTGAAAAGTTTTTTTGCGAAATAATCGAACAATCCAAACCATTTGCCGGTCGTAAGGTTAGAAAATCCGACCATCGTACAGATAGGAGATGATAACTTCTCACACGATACATATCAGTTAAGCGTTTACATAATACGTAAGTTTCGACAGATATAAAAATATGATATATAAAAAAAAAATGATACGTCAGTTCTCACACGAAAAAAAATTTACTGGTACGTAAATTCCTACATGAATAAATGTACAACAATATGCATACGCAATTGGGGATGCTGTTTCCATTTGAGCCAATTTTGACACTGAAATTCATAATTTAGGTTTGACACAAGAATTTAATAACGTAAATGATAACCAAGGAAAATGGTTGGTAAATTTATTCAGTGTTGTGCTTAGATAAAAAAAAATTATCTAGATATAGATAAGATATCTGGATTTAAAATTATCTAGATACAGATAGATACTGTAGAAATTAAATTTATCTAGATATTTATATAAGGCATCAACGTTTTCGTCCGTTTGTATGCGAACTCTTTTGGTCTTGGGTAATGATTGTATTATGTAACGAACCATTTCAAAATATAAAATAAAATTGAAAGTCATAGACAAAATTATGAAAAATATGAAGATGGTCTGACGATGAACACTGAACACGTTGTGGATGAGGTTAGGTTAGAGTGCACTGCGTATGGTATAAGTTTTTAATAAATAACGGATGTTTCACTCCTAATATTCAGTGTTGGGAATTATCTAGATAAGATTTTTTGAAATAAATTATTTTTTAAAGTATCTAGATAATTATGTAATGATTTATCTAATATTTAGCTTCGATAAAAAATGAGCTTATCTAGATAAATATTATAGTGCCTCTACAAAATTAGAAAACCAATGTTATTAAAATTCTAATATAATATAAATTATTTATAAAATTAGATGAATATATTTCTTGTTATTATTGCCAACGACGGTATTACGAGAACCTGCGTGCGGACATGCACTACACATCGTTCTCTAGTCTCTATTAGCCATAAATCATAATGAGCATATTAAAATTAATTATGTATAGGTTTATTTCCCCATCCATTCTAAAACTAAATTAAAATTAACTTCGTAGAACTGTTTTTCAAATGAGAACGCAAATCCAGGCGGCTGACGAAAACCAGTTGAACCTTTGATAACGATGCGTCAATGCGTGAAGCAGTGCGTCAGTGTGTTCTTAATGAAAGAGTATTATAGCATATTATTTCATTAAGACTACAGAACCTAACGATTTGTCGTATAAGGCGACTGTTGTCTAGTAAAAGGTATAAACACTATAAACATTTTATTACTTGTGAATTATGACTTTATATTTGATCAATTAAATCATGGATCGATTTATAACTTTCACATCAGTTAAAAAAATTCGTTTGGACGTCGAACCAGCAGAAGCTCAATATGTGGACGACCCAACAACTCTCATTTCTACTTACGTTTCACTTACATCTGAGCCTTATTAAAAATATTTATTTGACGAATTTTATAAGCTTCGAAATGTAGAAAATCTTAAAGTAACAGATGCTTGTCAAAATTATTCTAAAGTTGTTAGTGGGCCCAAAAAATCAAGTAGTAATTTTTTAAGCCATATAAAAACAATTATATGAACGTGTGGAATTTAATATGAAAATATGAACACAAGCGTGCATCGCTTGCTGGAGAAAATTCCGAGGGGTAAACGCTTTGTTCGATTTAATATTTTATACATGTCGAATACACTTATCATTCAGCCAACAAAATGGAAGATTATACAAATTCACTCGAAAGTTTGAATTGAGGTGAACTTTTAGAATATTACAATTAAATTATGAGCATATCATGTACAATTCGATCTATGGAAACATTTATATTTGAAACCTTATCTAATAAAAATTATTACACGTTATGACAATATTGCTAAAAGCTTAAGCTT